CAATAGTTATCAACATGTCACTGTGTTCACAATACAATCATGTTCCTCATGCACAACACTGTATTTATCACTACGATATAACAAATAGAATTGTCACCGACCTAGTAAATTATACTTATTTACATACTGGTGACACGAGTGAATAATGTGATGGCTTGGAAACTGAGATCATGATTTTCTAACCGAATTATTTTCTTTTCAAATTCAATGAGAAGAATGCATTAGAATACTGGTTAATGGCTTTTAGTCCGAATTTAATAATTTATCAGTTGGTGAACACACAACCATATGTACACGTTTAATGTAAATATAAATGCACACACACACACACACACACTAATTTCCCACTCAACTAAACCTCACATAAATGTTGTCCACCATCACCTCAGCAACAATGTGATAATGCACACCGATCACGATGATTAAGATGGATTTGATGGTTGCATTACATTGTTGATAATTTGAATCACGACTCTATTACTAGACGAAGGAGAATATTCACACGAAATTACTTGTTGACAAAATTCCAGACATAGTCATTCGGTGAAGTGTCAATGTGGAAATGCATTCAATCTACACATATCATCACATATCACATAGCATCACTCAACCCATTTCTGCATATGTTTGTTCAAACAACGTGGTAGATCAATCCATATTGAGAGGTAGTATATAATATAATATAATATACAATAAAATAATATGATATTAGGAAATTCGTAGAAAGTGAGGGAAACCAATGCTTATTTCATTGGATGACGTGTCACTCACTAATTACGGATTGTTTCATAACACATGAGATATTCCAAAACCTGTACATTACTCCACATTACACCTTAGTGATATGAATGGAATAATCGCGGGTGGATGCTTGGATGACTAAGTGAGTGTGTGAGTGTGTGTGTGAATGAGTGGGTGGGTGGGTGAGCGTGTGATTGAGTGAGTGAATGTATGTATGGAAATGTTGGTTGAGAAATAATGTGGTGAAACAATGTGTTGATTTCTTTTCATTTTCTGTATGAAAATAGACTAATAAATTCCAATGAGAATATGTTTTCGACTATTGTTGTATTTGTGTGCGTGTGTATGTTGTTATGAGTGTGATCTGTTTTATGAATTTCGTCTGGATTTGTGAACTGGAGAGAATTATTTGACGCTAATGATGTTACTAATACATGTTACTGTTATAATTACAACAGATAATGATTTCAGTTTATGTTTGAATGTATTATGAATGGATTATGTGTGTGATGAATAACAAGCATGTAATGTTCATTTTGTGTGGAATAAACTAAAACCAATCATTATAGTCATAAAATTGTATAAGTGTGTTTTAAAGTAAGCGAAATATTAATATATACTACATTTATTATTTTTAATGTTCACAATGTCAGTCTGGTTTACTGCAACTGAATAATCTTACTACCTTCTGTTTATCTACGTAATAAAATGATCATTTCCTTCAGTCCAGTCTATATTCGCTTCTTCCATAATATTTTAAAAACGATGATGGAATAACCATCCTATTTCTCAGTTTTTGGATCTACTAGATATAAAATATTATTTGTAATATATTCAAATATAGTAATTTTACGATGTTAATGGAAGAAAGTTGTCTTTTAGATTTTCCTGTTTCTGTTTTTGTATTTTGGCAAAAGGAAAATCAAATTTATCTTTGAAATAGTTACTTTACAATAACCGTCCAGTGCTTCCAGGTTTTCCATGGTGGTCTGGCTTCAACTGATTCATGATTTCAATCAGTGAAAACTTGATTCAGTTAGATTTTTCTTTCTTGAAATATTCAACAAATCAATATGTTACTTTTTAAATACACTGATTACTACATAAAGCGTTATGTTCATTTAAGGGAATCTAGATTAAGGCAAATGATTTTCTTTATTTGTTTAGATGAATAATAAGGATTCAAGGTAGTTTTGTTCATAAATTGACATCAGTTTAAATGGTATGACCATTGTAATCAAATAAATCAGTAGTGAATCATTTAATCATTTATGATTATGTCTCAGTTTTCTGAATAGGCACTAAGCGGTATTGTTAACCATTGGATTCTGACTAAATGGCTGAAGTATTTTATGTCCACCAGGAGACCTTCAGGTTTAGATTTCAATGGCATGGTAATTTCTGGTTCTGCGTTATGACGAAAAATAACCTCGAATTGCGCAAAGTCATATGAAACTATCTATGTAAACAACGTGTGAGCAAAAGTGCACGAATAGCTAAAAAAAAGCATACAAATCCCAATGATACTGTTATGGAACTTACTCCAACTTACTCATTGTAGCTTTGTATAGAGGTGGTCTAGGAAGAATGTTTAGATTTACTGAAGCTCAAGAGCAGAGAGAATTTAAATTTCTCTTCCGTGCTCACTAATAATTTATGCGCACATTATGTCTTCCACAATATTATTGATTTTAGTTTAACAACCAGAGTGGTGTAATTTATTCCTTATTATCCATTTTCTTAGTTCGACCAACTGTTTCTCATCTAAAAGTCTTAGCATACTAATACATAATCACTGAAGTTATTCTAAATTTCTCATTGGAAACTATATCAACAATCATAGCCACCAATCAGATCCTCTAGTTAACGATGTCTTATGAGTCATACAATCCATATTTACAAGTTATGCCATTCATTGAGTTCCATTCTCTGTAAATGTTCAAGGGATGAAACACTTTCTTTATGAATTATCCCGTTTCAATGATCTGTAGAAATTTACTACTTTTACTATGTTAATCTTGTTGAAATGATTTTTTTTGTGGGCTAAATCAAACCGTCCTTGATTTTTTACCATGATTTAAAAAGGACCAGTAAACTGTATTGAAGAATTTTAAGTTGTAATTATTGAAAATGTTAGTTCATTTTATTCACAGTAATATGTTGGTTTTTCATTATTTGTTTTTGAGTTGGCATGGTGATAAACTTTGAATATAACCATAAACCTTGTTATTATTGAAATGAGATTTTTGATTGTTCATATTACTAGTTTGTAACTAGAAATGTAGTGAATTGTGTTCACGCATATCACATAGTTATGATAAGTTATTCTCATCTCATTAAAACTAAAATATGTTCATAATATAACAGCACTTGATGTGGTCCAAATAGAACATGTTCGATGTCCATTAATTTATATTGTAAAATACATATAGAGATAATCCTGTTTATTATTAAGCATACTAGTCATTATGAATCTACAAAATTTATTGTTTTCTATTGTTCGATAATCTTATATATGTATAATTCATTTTTGTATTATTTGCCCGTATTTTCCCATTGTTATTTAGAACTACAATTGATCAGTTTCTTATTAGCATATGTGCATACTGTACGAATTGCTTCGCTATTGCCTAAAGTCACAAGTATTATAAGCAGAGATGGATGGTGGCTAGCAGGGGAAACCAGGACGTGCGTTTCATCCAACTCGGGACTCTTCAGCTGGATGTACCTGCATCCCAGAGTTGATATTCACTTCGGGATTGCATTGCTTACTTACATACGCCTGTTACTCGTCGTAGAGGAGCATAGGCCTCCCAAAAGCACTCTCCATCCAACTCTGTCCTGAATAATCCTTTCCAGTTTCTATTCATCCTTTCCATGTCTGCTTCCAATCCGCGGCGAATTGTGTTTTTTGGACTTCCACTTTTCCGTTCCTCTTCAGAATTACAAGTTGGTGATTGCCTCGTGATGCAGTCTGATGACTTCCTCAATGAATGGCCTATCCACTTTCAACGAATTTTTCTAATTGCCTCTTCAGATAAAAGCTGGATCGTTCTGTCCCACACTAGGCTGTTGTTGACAATATCTGGTCAACGGACATTGAGTATCTCACGTAGACAATTGTTTATAAATACTTGTACCATTTTTATGATGGTAGTCGTAGTTCCCGAAGTTTCAGCTCTGTATAGTAGAACCGTTTTGACGTTTGTATTGAAGATTGTGACTTTGATGTCGGTTGACAGTTGTCCGGAGTTGTATAGGTATATTTAAATGTTGTATTTGCATTTCAGAGAGTCATGTAGCTTAAGATTTTTTAAGAATACATTTGATTTTCAGTTTATCAATTTATTATTGGACAAACTTGAACAAATAAACAAAATAAATAGATAAATTTTCGGACAAAACAACCTATACATTTTGTCCTGAATTTAGAGATATAAGAAATCAGAATAAAGTAGGAAAGTGTACATATATAGTCGTAAATTCCTATAAGTTTCTCTACTTACTGTTATACGATATAACCATTTTTCAATAGTATAATTCTGTATTTAAGCTTGTTTGCTTAACTGAATTCGGCAGTTAGAATTTTATTCCTAGACAAAAATCTAGATGCAAAAGTGAAAAAAGACTTAGAAGCCAAATGATCATGTTTGGAAATAAAACATATGTAACAACAAAAGAATTGTACAAGGAAGAGTATGAAACAATAACATATTTTATTTGGTATCAGAAGGGGTTTTTGGTGGATATTATAGTAATTTTAATAGTTGACATCATGAGTCAATTGAAGTTAGACCATCATGGAAAACCTGGAAGCACTGAACGGCCGTTTCGTTCTGGGTTCGTGGATGAGTACTGCTGTGGAGTCCCACAGTAGGACGAAACGGCCGTTTGGTGCTTCCAGGTCATCCATGGGGGTCTAGCTTCAATTGACTCATAATCCGAACTATTAATATTCGTAATAATTTACAACACTACACAATATCTTATTATGATTATTCTTTGTTCATTTTATACTTGTGAAGCTCCATCCAATCTGAATAGAAAATATCATATCGATCTTTCTGTAGAAAAATTTGTGATATAATGAATATTTTACACTTTATATTTGCAACAGATTTAAATAAATTAAGTCAAGCATATGTTTGGTAATATTTAAAAGACATTAGATTTTTTACCAATGTGTTAACATGTTTATTCTAAATAAACTAAATTGATAGTGTTGTTTTTTAGTTACGTAGCTTTAATATATCTGGGCCATGGCTAGAAGTGAGTTACAGGATGTGCTTATTACTACTACTACTACTACTACTACTACTACTACTACTACTACTACTACTACTACTACTACTACTACTACTACTACTACTACTACTACTACTACTACTACTACTACTACTACTACCATTAATGTGGTGTATGCTACTTGTGTCTGTCGATATAAGTAGCATATAACACCAATCGGAGGTGGAAAATTTGGTAGCAGAAGGCTGTGAAGGTTGACTTGAAGGAAACAGAGACGGAATTAGAAAGGATCATACAGAATGTGAAAGACAAATGATGAAAACCTGCAAATGAAGTAATTAATGTATAGTTTTCATATTTTGCCAAGACACTGTAATTTCCCATTGAAATACATTTGAATTGTTCGAATCAATACAAAGAAATATTGAATTTCATTAAGATCAAGAACCGATCTAGTTCAACAATCTACACAACTCTCAAAATGACAAAGAAATGTAGTCAATATGTAATGTATACTATAAGATTTTCTGTCACTAAAAAAGAATTTTACTGTTTCAACTTATTTGTTCTCTTTCCTCTAGAATTCCCCTGTCTATATAATCGAAGTAGCTTTTTGTAAGATTGCAAAGAAACTATATTACAATCTGTTGATTGTTCTCAAGTCTTCATTTAATAAGCAGTATTGTGAAAAAAAGCTACCAACATCAAAGTTACTCCTTTTTATGGCTATACTGTGTTGAAGTGTAAAATGAAGCAATATTCATCTAGATTATTTGAATAAATATAAAGTTAAATGAAGTGATAAAACAGAAGTATAGTTTAATAACAGTATAAAATGAGCCTTAGCTAAGACTTTATACACAACTTATATATTTGAGTCGGGATCTTAACATTATTATGAAAATAATTAGTGCTGTATAATTGATTTCCGACTAATTATACCGGTATACATTTTTATTATTGTTACAACTTTTTATTAAATGGTACTCAACTACTAATAAACTCTAATATGAACGATGAATAGAAAGTAGAAATATTGATCGCTGGTTTATTATTCGTACATAAATAAAGTAGGCATGCATGTATTTACAATGAGTTAACGTAGCCGGTTGTGACTATATAATGCCTGTAAATTTACGTATATCATACATCCAAAGTAAGAAAAATTACAATCCAAGGAAGTTGTAACTTGTAGGTGTTGTGTAAAGAATGACTATGCACTGTAAAGGTTTTTATTTATCGGTATATATTTTTTCAAAATTTTTGAACAAATTCCGGCACATAAACAATATATGAACTAATTTCTTGTTACGCATAAACGGAAGTGCTCTACCTACCTACCATACTTATGCTACCACTATAAGTACATCTGCTCCCTCACAACTCTATCTATCTATCTATCTATCTATCTATCTATCTATCTATCTATCTATCTATCTATCTATCTATCTATCTATCTATCTATCTATCTATCTATCTATCTATCTATCTATCTATCTATCTATCTATCTATCTATCTATCTATCTATCTATCTATCTATCTATCTATCTATCTATCTATCTATCTATCTATCTATCTATCTATCTATCTATCTATCTATCTATCTATCTATGCCATAATTTCTAGGGACTCCAAACATTCGTTTTATAATATAGCACCACTTTGTGGAATTAATCATTTAGCTTAGGCTAATCGTACTTTATAAGTACGTTATCAGCAATCACCCTACATTTCAATACTTATACTTCTAAGTATATGATATAGAATTACTAAACCCAATATTCTCTTTTCCAGTGTCCGAAGAGAAATATTGGGAAGCAAATAATCGCATGATATTAATATAATTCTGTATACAAGACTACTTATATCAAACTTCCACTACAACATGAATGAATTAAAGTCATATTAAATGTTACGAAAAATGAAGTTTAACTTGATGAAAGTAATTGATGATGAAGTTTGTTTGTATGCTAATGACATTTTAACTGTCCATATTTACATCTATTGAATATTTAACTCCTAAATAATAGGGCGGTCAAGGTTAATACGATATTAAAATAAGTACATGTACCGAAATGTAACTAGTTCACAAGTGTTAGGAAATACAGGAAAATTCCCCAATCGAATCTAACATATAGAATAATAGAAATATGTATATAGGGTTTAAAATCGATAAAAATAGGAGTGAATGTGATCTTCATAATAGGAGTTATATGGGGAAAAATAAATACTCATTGACGTTGAATGAATCCAGGAAATGTTTAACACTATTAGGGTACTCACTTAATAATAAATATTGGTCATTGTTAGCATTATCAAATCTGCTTGAGGAATAAAATGGAGAATTATCGCTACGCATAACATTGTAAGGTTACTTTACGTACTAAAAACAATGATACAATCGTCAACGTTATGAAAAATGGAGATCTTAAGTAAATATGTTTACTGTCATAGTTTGCGACTAGCTAACGAAGTAAGATTCTCGCATAATGTCTTTAAAGGTACTTATTATCTTATGAAAAGATATTCTATTCGGTAACGTAAATCAAAGAACTTGAATGACTTCTGAACTTAACTGTACGAGCTCCACTTAATAATTATCTTTTGAGATGTGGCTCACTAGTTTTAACTACTAATTTTCGGCTATTCGGCTACAAATTTAAATTATGTTCTATCAGTTAACTAAGAGCATACATAGTTATCAGTGAGTACTGAACCTTAAACAAAAGAAGTGGAATCAACTGGCATTGATTATATCGTTTGCAGTTTGTCTATTTTAATGGTAGGCTATCAAAATATAAGGCTATACGGCAAGAAGTTAAACCTGATACTTAGATCCTAATCCATTGAAGAATGCTCGGTGTAAGAAATTAGTTTTGTCCATTTTTTATATTTATCGTTGTTGCTTTTATGTTAATATTTTGTGTATGGGCATATTACTTTATTAGATAAAAATATTTTGTCTTGCTAGCAGTCATCACCCAGTCACGCTGTTATGTTGAGTACCATCTGTTGGACGGCATTCTCTCCATCCAGTTAAATAATCATGAACTTTGTTCACCTATGAAATCTTGCTCGAAGATGACATCTTTGTGTTTGGACTAAGCTACTTTCATTTTATTAAGGACGCTATACTGATCCATGACTAGTTTTATAGTTTATCTTTTTATAAAATTTATGTTTTTATTATGATAGTCACCAGATTAGTGTTTGTATTGTAGGGTTTGGAATGCTGTTTTATCAGGGTAGTGTTTCCAGCTAAGCAAATACCGTGTGATAAATAGCTATCTGCAGCTAATTTTGCATATGGAATCTAATATTTATGAATATACTTTCAGTCCATTTTTATTCTAAGATTATCGGACTTTCCTCAAACGTTAATGATTGCAATGCGAGACTGAGACTTATGGAAATTACTTTAGAGCTCTATAAGTTTATTCGTTTATATCTCATTTGAAAGATAAAATAAGTAACTTTTCTTCGTTGATGGAATGGCCTTTTGTTTAGTGTTTGAATTATGAAAAGACAATATAATAATAACATATATAACCTGCTATAATTGGAGTAAATAGTTAATAATTAATATTTTAGTTTAAATCACTTGCTCAAATACTTTAGAAAGTCTCATGAATCTGTACTCAACTTCTATGTAAAAACTTAACAATAACTCAAATTTTCCATAATCATTATTAAATGATAACAAAAACTGTTTACATTACTATTAATACCAAATTCTTGTATTGTTGTTATTATTGACCTGAAAACTACATTTGGCCAGTGAACATCAACATTGAGGTTTAACAACATCCAACTGACGAGTCTCAACTAAATGAAACTCACAATCTGGATCAAAAAGTCAACCAGTATCTAAAATAAGCCTGAAATATTTTATAGATACACTCTACTACATATTACTTCTTTTCAACAAAACAGTGTCTCTATGACACACTTAACGATAATTATTCAATAATTTACCATTTGAAAAGTTTTTGATCAAAGCAAATTCGATGCCAATATTGATTAGCTCACTGCATAGTGACAGAAAATAATACTCTGGAAAACATTACGCAGCAAAACATCATTAGGAATAGAATAGGAATTCTAAAGGAATGGTTCTTTTTTCTTTGCTAGATTTTACTGAAGTATTAAGATGTCATCTACGTGTGACTGTATTGATCTTCCTGTATATATTGTACATGTACTTTTTTAGAAACCTTTATGACCTTGACAGTGTTTCTTTATAAATCTCTCCCAAACTAGTATAAGATTAAGTTAAAATGCTTTTAAATGTCTTTTTTTATGTGCAATAAATAAGAGATTAAGCAATATCACATCTTACAAATGCTTTCGTTTGACGTATTTTTATGGGAAAGGCTATATAAGTAGTCTAAACATGCAATCAGACATTTAGATATATTTTTTTGAAAATAAGGAATTCGTTCACTAGGATTTAATATGAATCCTTCCTTGTTAAATGAAATCAATCAAACAGATGGCTAAGTAAGTCATACAGTGCCTAAGAAAACTGGTTTATACTGATTTTGTGGATATCCACGTATTTTATATACTTAGTAAAACTATATTTTGAATAGTAGCTAGCAACAGAAGTGCATTTTGTCATGTATGAAGTTCGTCACCTAAGTGAACTTGCATCTTAATCTCGATATTCATACTGTGACTCGATCCGATTATTTATCATTTCGAAGACCGATAAATTATCCAGTGATCTACAGGACTAAGACAAGTATTAAGTTTACGAGCAGTCATGATATTTATTTGTGTCTGCGATTGCACGTTGTTTATATTAAGGACTAAATGTTGACAATTTTCTGTTATCAAAGATAACACTGAGATACTCACTCGAGGTTCAAGTGCTGATCGGAATTCAGTCTTGAATATCGACAACCGGTAAAAATAAACACAAAAATATATAAAATCATTTCTAGATAAGTTACTGAATATTTCGTTGACGTAACAATGATCAGGCAGACTATAAGATAATCGGTTATTTGATAGTAGTTGAGGCTACTTTCTATTCATTTAAAATCATACTTGTAAAGTCAATAACGTACATTTTTATGCTGTATTTAAGTTCTTAGTTTACACTGTCATTCTTTGTGTGAATTCGTAGATCCTTAATTTTTAAAAGTACTCAGATAGAGCTAAATA